TAGTTCTGGGCATCTAATAGAGAATGTATTTCCAAAGGGTGTTGCAGCAAGGAAACTAACTGTGCCTTGTGACTTCTAACTGGATTACAGTACCTGCTTCCTGATTTCAGTTACTATAGTTTGTATTCAGTTTTTTTGGCTCATCAAGAACAGTGTTCATGGCTTTGTGTGGCCTAACCTGTTGTGCCTTGCATGCTATAAGCGTTCAATTATGTCAGAAAATGGAGATTTGGTCTTATGCTGAGCATGTGCTACTGCTGGTGAATGGGATCAGGTTAAGCTTTGTGTTGCTGTTCTTTTGCATAACCTAAAGTAAATAAGGAAAACCAGCTGTTAAATAGTTTAATTCCACTATTTATCCTCCACACAACTAAAAGGGACCTCTCAATGCAGTGCCCAATCAGACAAACCATTTCTAATTTAATATAGGATTGAGCTGTAGATGGGCAGAGTTGCACAACAATCTCATCTGTCATTTCTATAAGCATGGGGAGGAGGTGGATGAAAGGAGAATGTAAAATATAGGTAGCGTGGTATAGGTCTTATCACTGGCTGATAATGGTCTATATGTACTTGAATTAAATTTATGGTACATGAGTACACAAAGCTTTAAGTCTCTCCATTTGTTCATGACAGTGGTAATGGTTCTTAATGCCACTGTTGACTGCTGTTCACTTTACATGGTTCAAATGTTATTCTGTTATAGTTTATTAAATATTTTATTACACTATTTGGTTCAGAATATATTTTCCCTTTTTAACCCCTCTAAAAATTATATGCGTCTTAAGATCCGGAGCGTCTTATGGAGCAAAAAATACGGTAATTACATCAGGCTGAGATTTTTGATTCATTTTTTTTTTTAGCTTCATAACTACTAATCTCTTACTGTGGATAAAATGATCTAAATGGTTTATTTTCCTTAACAGGATTAACAAGTAGTGTGGACACTGACTACTGGATTGGTCTTAACAGTTTAGATTTGGACAGCGGATGGGAATGGATTAGCAAACATCCGTTAAGATACTTAAACTGGTCACCAGGTGAGCGCACCCTACAATTCAGTGCTGAAAGGTAACATCATTTAATTTAATCATAAATTCAAATTGTTTGAAGGAATGTAGTAATGCTTAAAGCATTTGAAACCCCGTGGATTCTATCTTGATTTTAAATTAAGACTTAGGACACCTCTAAGAACAACTCTTTTGAGGTCTTACTGTAATTGTTAAATTTAATTTAACCAACACTTTTTATATTACTGTCTTGTTTCACATGTCAAACATTGTATATAACTATTATATTACACACACACACACACACACACAATCAAACATCGTATATAACTATTACATTACACACACACATACACATCTCTATTCTGATTTCATCATACATTGTTTAAGAGGTGTTGTTTAAGAGGCAGAGTAGTAATACAATAATTTTGATAAATCACCAGATAAGTAAAGATGTATGTGTGTATGTGAATCTGCTCTTTCCTAGCTTTCAGTGCCTTCCATTTTAAATTATGAGGTACTGTACTACCTGTTCTTCAGTCATGGTGTTGCACTGGTGGAGAAACACACATTCACAATGTGATAACCTGTTCTCATAGTAACATAAGTGATGTGCAGGTAGAACATAACAGTTATATAACATAATTCTGTCCACATAGTAAACAGATTTATGACAATAGCTGGGTGTCTTTCCATTGTCAGGTAGAGAGCAGCTCATCTACATAGTACCCCCCACCCCATCCTGTTTCGCTGGTTGGTACAAGTCAGTCTTGGAACAAAAGTGAAGAATAATACAGAACCAATCCTGGCTTATTTTTATGTTGAAACATTAACAAAATATGTTTTTGTGGGTCATACATTTTCTTTTAAAGGTAGCCCATCTTTGGAAACAGCTAAAAGCTGTGGATCAATGCATTCTACGAACGGCAGATGGAGGAATAATTTGTGTGACCAGAAGTTTGGGTACATTTGCAAAAAAGAAAACTCTTCACTAGATGAGCCTGTTATTCCCACAGGTTGGAGCATTATATGAAATAATGATATCCTGGAATGATGTTTACCAATATATAAACTTTATATAAATGATGAGTTTCAGAAGGTCTTATCATTGACAGCCTTGTTCAGGTCTTGCAAAGTCAAGGCGGAAATTTGCTTTATTGAGTCAATCCACATCATAAAAGCTTTTCCTAGCATTCTTGTCTTCTCCAGTGAGACTTGTCTTCTCATGATATATCTAAAATGTGATAGCTTCAGTTTAGTCATGTTAAGGAAGGTTCCAATATACAGAAAACATTATATATGTGTCAGTTCTGATATAATAAGCAGTATGCACAATTGAAGCAATGTTGGCTATACTTGAAGATCTCATTGGAGCTTATCGTGCCAATGGCAGAACTACTTAAATAATTCCTTATAGTGCCTGCCAGTATAGAACTCAACCCCTATCTCTCTCATGTCACTACAAGCTTTCATAAGCTAACCAGGTCTAGGGTTGGTCATTGTGAGGATGGGAAAGTAGACAAGGAAGCCCAAGTAAATTCTTTAGAAGTTCCATGAAGAATTGAAACTATATATAAATATAATAAAAAGGAACTTCTCAAGTCACAAAGCTCCCTATACACAAGTTCACAATATTGTTTTATTACAAGTTTATACAAACCACCTTGGGGTTAGTTTTCCTTTTGTCTTACAATGTTCCTGCCTAAATTGCAGAAGTTCCCTTCCATGATCTGCATTTAAGATTGCAATCCTGCAAAAACAGCGAACAGGATATACAAACAGGCAGCCAGGAGACAGACAGACAGACAGACAGACAGACAGACAGACAGACAGACAGACAGACAGACAGATAGATAGATAGATAGATAGATAGATAGATAGATAGATAGATAGATAGATAGATAGATAGATAGATGTATTGCAAGATTTGTTATAATTTTTGTGGCTCTTATCAGACAAACGTGCCATATAAACTTATCCTCTCTACTCAGATCTCATTACCAGAATTGCCTTAGCTGAATTCTTCTAGAACTCCTGCTAAATTCTTGGCTAACTTCTAATCAGCTAATGTGGTCAATTGCAAAATTAAGTCACACTGGGGATTTTTAGTATGTAAGTTATTTTAAATGTTATTGTTCCCATTTCAGATGGCTTGAAGCCCATTAAATGTCCGGATGGCTGGGTTGCATATGCCCAGCACTGTTACCATCTTAACAGAAACCCCAAGACATGGAAAGGTGCACTGTCAGCCTGTCGAAGGTCAGGTGGGGATTTAATTAGTATACACAGCATTGAAGAATACAGCTTTGCCATTTCTCAGCTTGACTACAGTAAGTATATCCAGAATGTTTTTTGCTACCATAAACAAATAGACTTTCCTCAGGCTCCTGAACATTTGGTCTTCACTTCAGAACCAAAAGAGTAAGAATATTCATGAAACCATCAGCTTTGCTATATTCATAGTTATCCTAGATCAAATGAATAAACTTCATGATTACAACAAGAACATACTCCAGAACAGTGTCTTCTAGTTCGGTTGAATAAGTTGCATGGATCTGAGATTAAAAAAACATCATGGGCTTATTTTTCTGATGTCCTTTCTGGTGGCAGAAGGCATAATAAGGGGAAGAAACTTTCTGTTGTAATGTCAATAATTTCTAGCCAGTATGAGGTATAAGCAACTCAGACACTGAAGATGAAATGTGCTTTCAGGGGCTGATTCACTGTTTTACTGTTCAAATATCGACCTCTTTTAGATTATTTTCTTCATTGTTCCAAATTGACAATTTTCATGCCTTTATCTTCATAGAAACAACAGATATCCTGTGGATAGGACTGAATGACCAGAAGAGCCCAATGTATTTTGAATGGAGTGATGGCAGTAGAGTGAGATTTACCAAGTGGCAGCGAGGAGAACCTACGCACATCAATAATGTGCAAGAAGATTGTGTCGTCATGAGTGGAGAGGTAAACAGAAGGAACCAGTGCTATGTCTAGTACAGATATATTTCCTTTGCATCCTCTTTTGTGAAAAAGGAGATTCCTCAGTTATGCATCAGTGCTCGGGTGGGAAAGGCTTCTCAGGAGTCAGATGGATTGCTGAATAACGTTCTCAGTCCTTCACGGTGAGACTTCAGTAGCATAGCCCTTTGCTACTTCCCATGGTTACAGAGAAATTTCTTTAATTATTGGTAGTAACCTGGCAAATTTGGCACAAATCTTTATGGAGCATATAAATTTCAGGAAAGTGCAGGCTTAACAGACATTTTGTGAAACAGTCCAACTTGTGTAGAAAAAGAATGCTTTGCATTAGAATGAAAGGCATCAAAATTTAAGAGACTTAATGTAATGAATTATTTTGCCTGAGATTTAAGATTTCTTTACATTCCTATGTCTAGAATGGATATTGGGCCGATTATTCCTGTGAAGAGGAACTTGGTTACATCTGTAAAAGAGAACCTTTGCAGTATCTTCCAGAAGAAGATGAAACAGTTGATCCAACATGCCAGAAAGTAAGTTTAAAGTAAAGTGTCTGGTATTAAATGAACCAATGGCTTGGCACAGGTAATTCTTACATTAAAGCAGAGGCATCAACAGCCATTTTGGAACTTGGGATGAGAAACACCGTTTTCTACTTCCTCCATTCTGAGGTAGGGCAGGAGGTTGTCCCTAAGCAAAAAGAGGAGGACAATGTTCCCCTCAAAATCCATAGAACGTTTAGGCTTTCAAAAAGAAAGAAAGGAAAGTAATAGGCCTGGAGATGTTAAAGTTTATTAGTGTAACACTCACCAGTAGATTAGACATGGGGACGAATTAAAAAACAGATCAAGATATTCGTGGAAAATCGCTGATCCATTAAATATTCATCCCTTCATATTCGTGGGTTCTGGAGACCCTCATGAAAATGAAGGGATGAATATTTCCGCATGTTATTTGTTCCTTCATAATAATAATAAAAAACCACATTCTGCAGTGGTGGGAGGAGGTGGGTTTTTTTAAAAAAAAAAAAATCCTGCATGAATATATTCATTATTTCTTGCTTCATGGGGCACCTTCGTGCTTCGTGAGTTGGCAGCTTTTGATGACTCATGAAGTGGGATCCATGTTATTTGTTCCTTCGTAATAATAATAAAAAACCACATTCTGCAGAATGGACTCGCCAGAATGGTGAATCGTCCCCATCTCTACAATAGATTCATATCTAGAATTTAAGTCCCACTGATTCAAACCCTTAGAAGCACTCAACATGGCATATGAATGACCTCTTTCATTTCACAAAGTCCTGCTTTCTTCCCTAGGAGTGAGGCTGCCTTTTAGGTGACAAACAAGCCTCCTTCTGCCTGGAGTTACAGTGGGGGAGATTTGTGTTATGACTAATGGCTGTATAGTTTAATAGTAAACCTTGGAAGTAATCTGGTGATAAAAGAAACATGGCCTTTCTTTCATAATGGGGTACATTTTAAGGCAACTTTCTCTTGAATTAACATGATTGTTAAATGAATTAAATGAAACTGATATGTCATGTGACATTAATATTGTAGTAACTGTGGCTGCCGGTTCTTTTATATTGACAGGGCTGGAAAAGGCATGGGTTTTACTGTTATTTAATTGGAAAGACATCTGTAACATTTTCAGAAGCAAAGACATTCTGTGAAGCCAACAAGGGATCTCTGACTTCTGTAGAGGACAGGTATGGAAAAGATTTTTTCTGAAATCAAGAGGAAAAGAACAATAGATAAGAATTTCAAAATAATGATAGATGCAATAGCTGAAATCCTTCAATATGGCCCTGCCAGTGCTGTGGAAGGGACATCAATACCAGCAGCAGACTTCTTTGGCTTCCTTTGTGATGGGGGTGGTGCATGTGGCTCATTCAGTATGCAAAGGAAGTAAGCATCATGCACCCCAAAATCAAAAAAGGAAGCCTTTTGGTGCTGAGAGTGCCCATTGTGCAAGCGGATCTGCTCAACAGGATTTTAACCAGTGTATTTCTCTGTGTTTGTTGAATGTCATAATATTGCCAACCAGCCTTGTGATGACTTGAGATGTTTGGGGGCATCTCTTCTGTTCAGTTTCTGGTCAAGACAATGGAAAGTCTAGTTGCTTCTTTAGTTGTGACTACATAGATTATCAAGCAGTTTCTCTGGGTGGGTAAAGTATGCCATGGGCAAACGTTTGCAAATGTTGCATCCCTTGACTATATAATGCATTGTTTTACTTGACCTGTGTTCTGTGATTAAATTGGCTCACTTTCTTTAAATTATCTGCTTTTCTTTTCTTATTAATACATTCTAGGTTAAATTCATTTTTGATCTGTGGCTTGACTGGCTTCTTTCAGTCCCGTACTTTACAGGGATTTAAATTCTTTGTCATTAATTTGCTGATGCTCCTTGGCTTTACAGATTTGCAGCCTCTCAAAATGCATAAATGCTTTCTGGAATGTCTTGAATCTGTAACAATAAGCTCCACATTTTATCTGTGTTCCACATGGGATTTGATGTGTAGTTGCTGGTATTATGCATTTGTTCTTGTTCTGTAGTTCTAACACAATTGTGATAGGTGTCAAGTCAATTTGTGTTGACTTATTATACACTGTGTATAGTGTGCTTTGGTTATTGACAGGTGATATGTGAAGTCAGATATTGTCATTTATCACTGAGTTCCACCAGAACCTCCAGACTTTAGATGCTGAATAGATGAGGATCATCTTGTGATAAGTCATCAGTTCTTATCAGAAATTCTAAAATGTAAGGAAAAGTCCTCTCGTTTGAATGTCTTGTTGTCACTTTCTACCCATAGATATGAACAAGCCTACTTGACCAGTCTAGTTGGACTGCGTTCTGAAAAATATTTCTGGATCGGCCTATCAGATGTCACAAAACCAGGGACTTTCAACTGGACCAATGGAGATAAGGTCATGTTCACCCACTGGAATACAGACATGCCTGGTATGTAATCCTGGGGTTTGCCAGGAATAATGTTTCATTGTGGAAAGGGTTTAATGGCTTTTTGTACAGTATATGTGTATGAAAGCAAATTCAATGTAATGAGTCACTGTCTTGTTTTCAAAAAGGACAACATTCTGGCTGTGTTGCCATGAGAACAGGAACTGCAGCTGGATTATGGGATGTTGCAAATTGTGAAGAGAAAGCAGCTTTCCTCTGCAGACATTGGGCAGAAGGTGTAACCCCTCCACCTGTTCCACCCCCAACTACTCCACCCCCATGCCCAGAGGGATGGTCTGCAAGTACAACCAGGAATGTGTGCTTCAAAGTAGGTCCAAAATTCTGAATCCACCTATTTCCATATTTAATTAATGAAGCCTAGGTGGAAAACTCTAAATTAGAAGTGTGCAGCAACTACAAGATTTTGTCTAGACCTTGATTCAACAGTGTGGGTAACAAAATTTGGCATGGACCTATTAGAATGCTGTTCAATTGCACTGAGAGAAGATGAAGAAAAGTAAAGGTTCATGCCTCTTACTGACTATGACTAGAATAGATGCATCTAGAAGTTTTTCTATTTGTTAATTCAATAACATTTGCATCTCTATGAGCCCTTTAGGTCTGCCAGATTTAAGATAGATACGTACTATACATACCAGGCAGTTATGTCCTGCCAACAAAGCTTTTTCATCAAGGCTTTTGAGGTTATCCCAAAAGGGATACAGTTTTTGTCTCTTTTGTTTTGTTTTTAAATTAACCAGTATTCTGAATATGCACCCTGCAGAAAATTTTCTCAGGGCTTCAGATTTCCAAAGACAGGCAGCACATAGCAGCCCTTCCAAGTTTTGGAACAGTAGGTGTTGTGTTTTATGTGGAAGATATTTTGGGGAGGGTAGAGAGGTCGAAGTCCAGAGCAGAAGAAGAAATTACATAGAGGTTCATATTTTTGATAAAACATGTTTTTATGCATTAAGGCATTTACTGAAGAAAAATATAAAGCGAAAACTTGGTTTGAAGCACGAGATTTCTGTAGAGAAATTGGAGGTGATCTGATATCTATCCACAGTATAGAAGAGCAGTCTTTACTAGCAAAAGGGTGAGTTTCATAAAATGTTTATTCATTTACATTATCTCCAGATCGTAAGCTGTTCTGATCCAAGATTTAGATTGGGAAGTTCACTTTTGGGTTTCAAAAAGATGTAAAACATAATTTTCCACTAAAGCAATGATGACTGACTTGCTTTAGAATATGACATGGCCATGGAGCTTTTACATGCGTATTATGTTACTCAGTCTTTTGAAAACTGTTTATGCCTATAGAACCAAGGACTCAGTAAATCACCAAGATGCATGGTATTCCACATTGCCGAGAATGTTCAGGAGAATGTTCAGCTGTTCACCCTTCCCTTTTAACATTTTAAGTATAACAGCAACAACAACAACAACAACAACAACAACAACAACAACAACAACAACAACAACAACAACAACAACAACAACAACAACAACAACAACAACAACAACAACAACTTATTATAGTCAGTGACCAGGAAGATAAAAATACATTACAGTGGTGCCTCCACTTACGACCATAATCTGTTCCAGAAGATGGATGTTAAGTCGAAATGCTCATAAGTCGAAGCACCATTTCCCATAGGAATGTATTGAAACCCCATTAATCTGTTCCGGCCAAGGAAAAAAATCATTTTAAAAAAATCACTGCAAGACTCATTGGAAATGCAATTAATCCCTTCCGGCTGGGGGGAAGGGGAAAGAAAAGCAATCAAACATTCAAGACCCATTGCAAATGCAGAGAAAACAAATGGAGCAGATTTGAAATGCACAGAGAACAGAGGGACAAGGTTGGAAATGCACACAAAAAAAAACAAAACAAAGGGAAAAGCAAGGGAAGCATACAGGACCAATTGCAAGTGCACATAAAAACAAACGGCCCAGATTGGAAATGCACAGAGAACAGAGGGACAAGGTCGGAAATGCACAGAAAACAAAGGAAAAGGCAAGGGAAGCATGCAGGACCCATCAGAAATGGGGGGAAACCTCAAAAAGCAACCAAGACCCATAGGAAATGGGGGGGAACCCAACAAACAAACAAACCCCCAAGACCCATCACAGCACAGAAACATAAACCTCCCCAGCCTAAAACCACGCTGCAAAAATACACAGTACAGTTTTTAAAAAACAGAAAACAGCACCTTACCTCCCTGCAAACACACACGCGCCCACTCTGAAACAGAAGCCAGGCGGTCTCAAGCCTCCTTCCATCGCACTCACTCTAACTGTCCGGGTGAAAGAGCTGCAAAGAAGCAGCCTCTTTCACCACCTGCAGTTAGCAATTTTTCCCTGCCTTTTTCTGTTCATAAGTGGAAGTTCCGGTTGGTTGCAAGTAGAAGCAAAATTTTGCAGCCGGAGCTGGTCGTAAGTCAAATTGGTTGTAAATAAGGACGTTCGTAAGTGGAGGCACCACTGTATTTAGATAAAAATCACATAATATCGGAGACATTGATCGAGACATGACATGACATGACACCATCTATGCACATTCTGGCTCTTTTACAACATGAAAATTAAGAAGATGTTCTGCGTTAGCCAGTAGTATTGAAGGATATACGTAAAAGCTTTAAAAACATCACAGCAGTCACATGATATAGGATGAGCTTAGGAGACACATGTAACCATCAGTATGCCACCCCAGCTCTCCTAGAAAGTAAGTTAAGCAAAACATCTCTAACAAGGGCGGGGGCACTCGAAGACCTTGTGTGGCCAGGAGACTGTGGCAAGCTATTATGGCAGCACAGTATTTGGCCATTTTACAAGAAATGTAAGAAACCTTACCGGAGAGCAGCAAAAGAATATAAAATTTGTTGGATCTCCCCAGAAATTTTTGAAAAATAGGGGTGAGAAGATCCTTGTGGAGATCTCAATAGAAATGACAGTATAAGAGGACATGCCCCACTGTTTCTACTTCACCACCACCACAAGGACATAAATTATCAGAATAGGGTATGGCTTGAAATCTTCTTTCTAGGAGTTTAGAAAGCAACACATTAAATCTAGCTAAAGTAAAAATTCGTCTAGATTTAGGTGGTGTTATACTGGTCAGATAGGTGGGAAGTATAAAGGTGTTGTTGTTTTTTACAACACTGGATTTGTCCAGTGAACCTAAATGTTCTTGAAGTTCTATGTTTCGGCCCCATGGAGTCTCAATTGTGGAGTTCCACAGAGGTCGATAATTTCCCCAATGCTGTTTAACATCTATATGAGACCGCTGGGTGGGGTCATCAGGGGGCGTGGAGCATCATGTCATCAATATGCTGATGACACCCAGCTCTACATCTCCTTTTCAGTAACTGCAGGTGATGCTGTCCTGTCCCTTCAGCGCTGCCTGGGGACCGTACTGCAATGGATGCAGGAAAATGGGCTGAGGTTGAACCCGGACAAGACTGAGGTTCTAAGGATGAGTGCCCCTGTGGTCGGTGGCTTGGGTGACTCTCTCTCATTTGGGGGGGTGACCTTGGCCGTTAAGAGTGGGGGTCGCAGCTTGGGGATCCATCTGGACCTCGCGCTCACCATGGAAACGCAGGTGGCGTCAGTAGTCTGTACCGCCTTTTTCCATCTCTGGTGGATTGCTCGGCTGCGGTCCTACCTTGATACGGGGGCACTCACTACCTTGGTGCATGCGCTCGTAATCTCAAGATTAGACCACTGTAACGCGCTCTATGGGGGGCTGCCTTTGAGGCTGATGCGGAAACTTCAGGTGGTGCAGAATGCGGCGGCCAGACTCCTTAGTGGAGTGAGAAAATACCAACATATTTCTCCTACTCTGGCCGCATTGCATTGGCTGCCTATCCGTTTCTGCATCAACTTCAAAGTTTTAATGCTTACTTATAAGGCCCTAAACAGTTTAGGACCTCAATATTTGGTGGAACGCCTACTCCCACCAAGTTCAATCCGGATCACTCATGCAAGTCAGGAGGTGAGGTTGAGGGGCCTGACGCCCAGAGAGGCCCGGAAGGAAAAGATACGAAATCGGGCCTTTTCAGTGGTACCTCCTTGTGTCTTGAACAAACTTCCTCCGGAGATTCGTGCAGCCCCTACCCTGGGTATCTTTAAAAGCCAAGTAAAAACATGTATGTTTATTCAGGCCTTCCCTCCAGTCAATACTTGATTCTCTCTTCTCATTTCTCCTTTATTGAGTTTTACTCTATTTTCTTGGTTTCCACATTTTATTTGTAGATTTATGTAATTATGTGGTTTTATGAATTGTTTGTATTATATTGGAAGCCGCTCAGAGTGGTCACATAGACCAGATGGGCGGGATGCAAATCAAATAAATAAATAAATAAAATATGTTACAGATCCTTTGCTTGATAGCTGATTTGGCTTTGGCATAACCCATCACTATAAAGGTGTTTGGGGAAAGATCAATTAGCAGAGCCTGATTTGTTAAGTGACACTTCCATTCTGATTGGAAGGTGTCAGAAAGAGTTAATGGTGCTGCCAAACCTTGTGGGAAGAAGGTAAGCTTTGGCCAGTGTTTCAACATATATAGACTTTGGTACATGATCTGATAGAAACTAAAGCAGCCTCTAGGCATAGAGCTGTGTCAGGGACACAAGGAGGCACTGCCAATATAGCTCTCAGAAATTTGGACTAGACAAACTCAAGGGGCTTAGGTATCACAAGATGCACACTCCTTAAGTCTGTGTAACTGTTTGTTATATTTCAGGAACCATAAAAAATATCCCTGGATTGGCTTAAATTCTTTGGATCCCGATGAAGGATTTCGTTGGAGTGATGGATCTCCTGTAAGTGGGTTGTTAATGCTGTTTTTGAATAATCAAATGTTTCACTGAAGATGTGCTCAGAATACAGATGTTGAGATAGCTCTGTAGCCGTCAACCAACTGAAATATTGGGCATCTCCATCAGCTGAAAATCATAAACATGTGGATTGGGAAGCCTATGTTTGAGTGGTCTATTCACAAGGGCTCCATTTAACCCCAAATTCATACCATATCAGAAACATCTCCACCTTCTTCTAGAATGCAGTACTGATACAGGCCAGAAGCAAAATGATAATATGAATACAGTGGTACCTCACTTAACGATTGCCTCATTAAACGACGAAACTGCTATACGATGACTGTTTTGCGATCACTTTTGCGATCGCAAAACTATGTTTTAATAGGCAAATTTCGCGTCCAACAATCGGTTCTCTGCTTCAGAAACCGATTCTTTGCTAGACAACATTTTTAAAACAGCTGATTGGCGGCTTCAAAATGGCCACCCACTGTGTAAAATGGCTCCCCGCTGTGTTTTTGGATGGATTCCTCGCTTTACAGACACCGAAAATGGCCACCCCTATGGAGGATCTTCACTGGACTACGAGTTTTTCAGCCCACTGGAATGCATTGAACGGTTTTCAATGTGTTTCAATGGGATTTTTTATTTAACTTAATGAGGATTTCGCTCTACAGCGATTTTGCTGGAATGGATTATCCTTGTTAAGCGAGGCACCACTGTATTGGCTTGGAAGATGGGGGCGTACAGTTGTCTGCTAGCATCATTTTTAGTCTCTGAAATAGCTTTCAGCGTTTCAACTTTAATTAAATGATATTTTTGGTTTTTAGCTTTATCTGACTATTGCATTTGACATTAAAAGGGCTAACATCGAGCACTGCATTACCTAAGGGAATTGCCTTTGGTGACTGGTTTCCAATAGTTTGATGGAATAAAACTGAGTAATATATTTACTAGCCAGGATGCTCCTGTGTCTGCATATGGTTTTTGTAAGTTGATGCGGCTAATTTTAGTTAATTGATCAGGATCACATGTGTGACTAAGCATGTCACAGACATGCCCTGGCTGCATGTCAATTAATTGGGGCAAGTTAAATAAAATGTACACAAACACCTGTAAGAGCCTTGCCAAATTGCTTACAATAAAAAAACAGCAACAAACACTGTAGTACTATGCATTTTTTAAAAAACTAACAGATGAATTTCGGAGTGAGTTTTGGTAAATTAAAATCTACTTCCGGAGACATCTGCAGTACAATATTTAGGACACAGGTTTATAGACACAACATACAATTGATTCACCAAATTCCCACATATTCTTATTGTTGTTATTATGTACTGTCAAATCACCTTTAATGTATGCCACCATATGAATGAGCAGTCTCCAAATGTTCTTTCAACAGCCTTGTTCAACTCTTGTAAATTCAAGTCTGCGGTTCTTTTATGGAGTCGGTGAATCTTGTATTTTGTCTTTCTCTTTTCTTGTTGCCTTCAACCTTTCCCGACATTATTGACTTCACCAAAGAATCCTGCCTTTTCATGATGTGCCTAAAGTAGGACAGCCTCCGGTTTATTATTTCGCCTCCAGAGATAGTTCAGGCTTGATTTGCTCTGGGACCCATTTGTTGGTCCAGAGTATCCTGCAAATATCTCCTCCAGCACTATATTTCAAATGAATCATTTTTTTCTGTCAGCTTTCTTTACTGTCCAGCTTTCAAAGTGCCTACTGTAGTGCATCTTACTATGCAAAACAACAGGATTTTAGCCAATGAGACTCATGACAAGACTTAGGCCACTGTGTTTACTTCCCCCAAAATGGGTGTGGAAACAAGCACAAGCAAACCATTACAAGTCCACTATTACTCATTCAGTCTGCCTTTCTTCTGAATATTAGTACTGATGTTATTTTTAAGAAAATGGTAACAAAACGTTATTTCTACTACAGATGGACTTTGAAAGTCAATATTTCTGGAGAGCAGTATCTACAAAACATGACAAAGAGTGTGCAACGCTAGGCTGGTCTCATAGGATTTGGATATATCATCCGTGTGACTATATGTTCCACTGGGTTTGCCAAATAAAACGAGGTAAGATACTGTCTTTGTTATGATAGTTTTCTCAAGGAAAATATATTATTCTTTATATCATGTAAAAACATGGCAAACATTAATTTTATTTGTATCATTTGCTTCTACCAATATGAAATACTGTAGTATATTCCATATAAATTGCATTTGGATATTCTGTTAATTGATATCTGATTTTTCAGGTGTTCCTTTAAAACCAGAACCAAGCAATACTTTAGGTATGTTGATCATTTTCGTGTGAAAAATGTTTTGAATATAACGTGTGCTTGTATTTGTAACATACTGTGGTGTGTTGTTGTTTTTTTGAAGAGCCACCATGCTGGATCAAAAACTTATATACTGTGGTGTATTGTGTTTTTTTTTTAAGAGCCACCATGCTGGATCAAAAACTTATCTATGTTTTGGTCCAGCATTCTGTGCATGTTGTAGCCAATCTGAAGCAGAACCCTGAGCACTACTGCACACGCCATCTTGTGATCCCAGCAACTGATATAATCATAATTATTATTATGTGCCATGACATTAATTCTGACTTTCGAGGTAGAGAGTCCTCAGAAGTGGTCAATCATTTGTTCTTCTAGGAATATCCTGGTACTGATATGCAAACACTGATTCTGATGTTAGAAAGGATAAGCAATCTGTGGCCGTAACCTGCATGAATTTACCCAGTCCTCTTTTAAAGCCATCCAAACTGACAGATATCACTGCATTTTGTGGCAAATATTTCCACAGTTTAAATATTCACCACAAAAGGAAGGAGAAAACTCCATTTGATCTCTCCTGAATATTCTGCCACTCAGCTTCAAGAGATGAACTTAGTTCACAATAATTTGAGAGACACAGAGAGAGAAATGTTTCTTACAGATGCAAGTATTTCAGTGAAGGTCATGACTGCAACACAGGGCATGCTGGGGACAGCACTCAGAGTCAGGCATGGGAAAAGCTCGGACTAGCCATGATTGTGCCTCGCATAGGATTTGCCTTTTCTATAGTAGTCACACACTGGATCTACATTTTCATTGTGGTGTTTACCACAATCCTGGTATCACTTTGTTTGCCAGTCACTGTTAGCTCAGATTCCATTGGTGTATATTTGAACTTGGAAGTTTTTTGGCATCACTTTGCACATCCTTACACTCAATCTCACTTGCCACTTCACAACCCATCCCCTCACCTTGGAACCTTTCAGACCTCATCAGATCAGTTTTGGCTTTCTCTGCTTTAAACAGTTTGACATCATGAAGAAATGTGACCACATTACTGCTCACTGAACAAGCTAAAAAGCATTGGTCCAATTTTAAGCAATCCCTCTGGGACGCTGCTGTTCGTATCCTTCCATTGTGAGAACTGACCATTTATTCTGTTTATATTTCTGTTTCCTGTTCTTAGCCCAGTTTTGCATTTAACAAAAAAGAGCATTTCTGTTTCTATTTACTTTGCAGAATATTCTTATAAAATAATTGAAGATGGCTGGATTGCATATGAGAGCAATGAATATTATTTCAGTAACATCACATTGTCTGCAGAAAGAGCCCAGAAATTTTGCAAGACGCATGGTGGAGGTCTTGCTATCATTGAGAATGAAAGTGAAAACAATTTTCTGAGGAAATATGTAAGAAATATCTGGAATATATACTTTTTCTATCTAATATAATTAGTTTCTAAAAAGAGACAGGTGGTATAATTTGAGGATCACCATTCCTGTCCTTTTTAAAGCATTTTCAGCAAGGGGCTGAGGGCAGAAAATGAGGGAATGATCACATGAGGCAAATATTCCCTAGTTGCATTTTAATATTATAATAGTTAATCACAATTCAATATTATTACCTACTGTATATTTATTTGTACTTGCTTTCCAATTATATTGTGAACTGCAATTTCTGGGCAAAGGTGAATTTGTGCTATAACCTCATTCACTGTCTTGGAAACAAATCTCATTAAACTTAGTGAACCTTACTTCAAAGAGTACATAAACAGGATTGCACTATTGTGTTTTTAGAACCACAAAAGTGTCAGAAAAAGTTAGATCCAGCATCACTAACTTTTTCCTGTATGGCCTTGATTGGTAAATTCTGCTGTTCTTGAGGATTAACTGAATTAGGTTCATCTGGAGAAAAGCGTATTTAATGTAAATTAATAATATTTAATTATATTTAATACAAAGCTGTGTAATGTTTTGCTGCATTTATTTCCTATTCTTCCTGTATATCATTCCAGAATTTCTTTTATGGAGCTCGCCATGATCGCTATATTGGCTTATTGTTGGGGTTTGACAGAAAGTTCAGGTAAGTGAACAATTTCTCTGGTTCTCACCTTCACACATACACTTCATAGAACAGATATTTAATTAAAGAAATTGGCCAGAATCCAGTTGTTAGTCCCAATTCAAAGATGTATTGGAACATGGTGAGTCATTATTACATTCTAATAGGGACGTGGTGGCGCTGCGGGCTAAACCGCAGAAGCCTGTGCTGCAGGGTCAGAAGACCAAGCAGTCGTAAGATCGAATCCACGCGATGGAGTGAGCTCCCGTCGCTTGTCCCAGCTCCCGCCAACCTAGCGGTTCGAAA